GAAGAGTTTATCAAATTGTCCGGGCACAGATTTCAGCGCAGCTTCAGGAACGTGTGACGCTGCAGTCACATCAGGACAGGATCACATCTGGCTGTTTGATCCCACCACAGTCATCGAGTGACTCAACCAAATTAAGCTGATCAGACCAGTTAGCATCACTTCAAACTTCACTGATCACAGATTACAATCCAGTGGATGCTCTGGGAAAAAAAAGCAGTAAATAGCAGTCGCAGCCATTTACAAATTTTAACACATTTGTGAACCAATTTGACATCTTTGCACCAACCCTCTTCTCATAACCCATTAGCTATATTCTGAGGATGTTCCAGCCGTTTGGGATCAATGGCCGACTTTTGGGTCTTCCAGTGCAGTGGCAGTTATCAATGGAAAACGTCTTCTTGGGCTTTGACGCGTTGTTATGACATAAAAAGGCAGGGTTGGTCGTTTTCTAAAACTAGCATGATTTTGAAAGTAGCATTCCCTCAGTGCTCCGTCTGCAAACCCATCAGTAAACCCATAAACCCATCCAGTCCTTTGTTTGTGGTCTGCATAAGTCTTACAACACAGAGAAAAATGCTCTGTTTTAAATGTGCTCTCCTTGTAATGTCGCAATGAGTGGGATTCTTTTTATCAGAATCCCACTCATTGCATTTAAAGAGACACACACACCAAAACGGAGCGTTCTGAGAGAGCTGGTTTATACAGGGTCACAAACCTCCTCTGGTGCTTGATTCATGTTATATTTTGACCAAAGCACAGCACAGATGTTTCATTTAGACCACAGGGGACTGTTTGAAAAGGGAGATAATATGTCCTCTTTAAGACAGTGCAAACATTCAAAATAAAAGCGTCACAAAAAAAAATGTTTGTAGTAAAATGTTACTCTACACACAGCTGTCCATGTCTTTGACTTATTTTGATCGTACTGCTGTTTTGTGTCGCCATCTTTGAATTCAAAGCAGCGTTTTCTGCCTTCTGCTTCATGTTCTTGCTCAGCTCAAACAGGCACAGTCTGCAAACGGTGACTGAAATAATAAAACATATTCCTCTTGTAATTATCCTCCTGAAGATTACTTTCTACAGCTTTAGCTCAGATTTGCAATAAATCTGACATGAGTCACGTTATGTCGCAATAAAAAGTGCATTCAAATGTTGGTTTTCCAGAAGTCGTTAGAAGCCTCAATGTGAAAACAATCTCTCAGGTTCAGGGAATCATTTTTAAAGAATGGCTGCAGGGGGAAAAAAGCTTTACTTTGAAGGGCTTCCAGACTCAGACCTGACAGACAGTCAACCAGGTAACTCAGGTAAAATGTTCTCCAACATAACAATAAAGGAAACCACTAACACACACACGGATTAAACAGGACAATACATGGTAATAAAATAATCCAAATATCTCTGTTTTAGTATATCCGTATATATTGTGTCTTAAACTCTGTCGTACTGTAGCATGCAACAGCTGTCAAATTGTCAAACAAAAGGTGACCCCTCATTGGTCAGATTGCTACCTTAGCAGGGCTTGCAGGGCTTTTACAGACTTGAGGAACTGCAGTTTTTTCCCATATTGGCTTAATTTTTCAACACTGGAATGTGCCGCTTGTCTCTAACTTAAACAAACGAGCCAGCTAAAATATGACACCGGCAGTAACACATCATGAAGGGAGAAACTGAAATAAAACTGAATGTAGGTAACTGGAAATCTTTAGATGTCAGCCGAACAGCCGGCGCTTATGGATGGAAAACAAACGACTTATGTCGCTGATATGTCGCAGGTTATGTGTGGAGCTGAAATTTAAAGAAGTAATCTCCTGAGTCAGTTACAGCTTCAGAAGAAGATTTATCACAAACACTGAAAGGAGCTGCAGTATTTTCCATTTTCCCAGTAATATGAAGAAGCAGTGTTACAAAGTGTTTAATAACATGTGGACAGGAACAGCGTGAGGTTTGGATTAAATTAAAGCATGACATTTTTTGTTTGTTTGAGTGATGATGTTCACATGAATACGTCATGACAAAAACAAGACAAATAAAGCTGCAGCAAACTTGATTTCTCATCTATTAATCAACACGTCTTTTAGTCTGAAAAATGTCAGACTCTGTCTGCTTCTCAGAACCCAAAGTAACATCTGTCAATTGCTTTTTTTCACAACTTAGAGTAAAAACTTTTCATTTACTGTCATCAAATTCAAAGAAAAGCAGCCAGTTGTCACATTTAAAAAAAGCTTGAACCAGCAGATGTTTGACATTTCTGCTTGGAAAAATAAAACCTGTATTCAATAATCATAAAATCTGGCGATGAATCTTCTTCTAAATGACTAATCAATCAACCATTTCAGCTCTAAAGGTTAACTGTATCTCTTGAAACACTGCATGGAAGAAGTAGACTTCATCCCCGTTTCCACCAAGTGGTCCGGTTCCGTTCTGTTTGGGGCGGTGTGCTACGCATTCATTGGTGTTTCCAGTGTCAGAAGTTGGAATGGAACCAAAATAACTGATCTGTACCATCCTATTTTTTAGCTTCCCTTTTGTTAGAGTGCCAAGTGTGCTGATCTGACCTTAAAGGGCGGAGCTAGACACACTGCAGTCTGTTAATTGGTTAAGAATCGTCACTTCCTGTGCAACTAAAATAAAGGAGAAACACAAAACGCACCGTGTTTGAATATCCTGTGGATTAGGATAGAGTCATTTCAAGAATGTTTTTTTTATTTTTTGCGGCTCCTGGGGCGTGTAGCTCCGCTCCATGGACGACCCCGGAGATGCAGACCTTCCTGGGAATCTTTGATTTTTTTTGTCTACTGTGTCACATTCTTCTTCTTTGTTGGATTTAATGGTGGTCTACACTATGTCGCGCCGCTGTGATATAGTGATGAGCAGTACTTTAAATGAACACCCGCCAATTGGGGGTAAAAAAATTATTTGGCGGGTAACATTGTAGGGTTAGCCGCCATTTTGGCAGTTGATAAATGAAGCAAATATCACTGTGTCTGTTTGAACCGGCAGGCTGCAGAAATGATGCGACAAGTCAGTGTTGCCAGATGGGGCAAATTTGGCTGGTAGAAAATCTGGTTGGTTGGAGCCTTTAAAAATCTACTAGCCATGTTGGCTGGTGATCAAAAAAGTAAATTTGAAGCCCTGGTGCTGAGTAAGGGAACGGTTGGTTGTGGAAACACAAGCAAGAACTAAACCGTACCAAACAGCACTGAAGAAACCCTGACCGCTTGGTGGAAACGGGGCTTTGGATAACCATGTCAAAATAAGAAAATAAAAATAATGGTGTGATGAGAGGCAGGTGGGACCTACCTGTGAAGATGGCAGACACAGGGGATGATGAAGAAAGAAGAGGAGGAGGAAGTGCACGAGACTGGAGGAAAATGAAGATGAAGATGGAGAGGCGTGAGCTGAAAATGAAATGAGTACAAGGTGTAAAGGTCAACAGACACGACAGAACGAGGCGTGAAGCGTGAAAGATGAAACACGAGCAGCTGTGGATATCTCACTGGGGGACAATATTGTGTCAATCTAACTGTGTTTATGAGAAAGAGAATGGCCCAACACCCGGAGGAATCTACTCTTCCTCTCTGCTCTTTACAACCTCTCTGATGAGCGATGGGACCGTTCATACACAATGCATGAGGGCTGTGAATTATTGATGGTGCTTTTTATTTCCCTCTCATACAGGGGGGATGTGAGTTTAAAAAGGCATGAGCTGAGCTGGCTCAGGTGAGCGACTGTCAAAAGCGTTGTCCCTGCTCCTGAAAATCTCACTCCTGTAAGTCCAGGACAATCTGCGACATGGCTGCCCAGGAAAACAATCGATCTGACTACAACCACAGCAAATGAAGAGCTTTTCAACACTTTCCCCGACGTCCACTTTAGAACAGAATCTGAGCTTTTAGAGGGACTAACATGCTGTAAGTGTTTCTAGATGTAGGGTTCACAGTGGGGTCCAGCTTCTGTGCACGGTTTAAAGACTCTAAGCCAAAATGAAGTCTGCAAAGAACATGTGCTTCTCTAAAGACATCTGCATGACATACAAGCAAGTACCATTATACTTCAGATATAACTCAACCAGATACAGTTGAATGCTCCACAGTTATGTGTTGGTTACTCTCTTAGTGTGCACAACCAAGAATCAGCAAGACACGTGAGCCTGCAGACACTCAAACAGAACGACCTGGTAAATCCACGAGCGAGGGAGAAAATGTGTCATCGTACTTTACATGAAGAGACTCTGAAGATACAAACACGTACACAAAACTCCCTTAATTCTAAGGCCCCCTGTGCTGTGATATGACGCAACATGGCGCAGTGCTTAAAGGCAGGGTTGGTAATTTCCTCCAGATCCACTTTTTAAGATTCTGGTTGAAATTGTCTTTAGGTCCTGACAGAAATTAATAACTCATGTTCTCTGAAAAAGGAACAAAGAAAATCTGTCATCTGTAACAGTTGTAAGCCTGTAAAAACTTCGACCAATGTCTGCCACGAGGTACCAATCTGATGAACCAATCAGGCGCCTCCCTGTCTCCCTGCTCGCTCTCTACCTCTTGCGTGCTCTAGCTCACACTCAAAGCGCGTCACAGATGACGGAGTTTATACTGAGAGTTTACTGACCGCTGAATGAGACATGAGACGACGTAGTTTCTACACAATGCAAGAGATGAGCTGAGCTGATAAGTAAGTGAGGGGGCGTGGCTTTAGAGGGAGCACAGGGGGGAGGGGGTGGGTGCAGACGGAGCACTGAGGGAATGCTACTTTCAAAATCATGCTAGTTTTCGTAAAATTACCAACCCTGCCTTTAATGCAAATATTGGACTTGGTCATATCACCATGAAAAAAGAGAACACTGAAAGGGTAACACAAGAAATTAAAGACTGAAATAAACTATAAAACTGAGTTGATTTAAGATCTAAAGCTAAAGGCGACAGTTCTTATGGAGGTCATGGAAAGCAAAAAAAAAAGGAAAACTCAAAAAAAACCTTTCGGTCATTCTCATCACATACCTTGTTCCGAAGCCCCCCCTGGTCCCTGTCGGGGAGTCGAGGCTGTCTCCTGGCTTGGCCGGCCTGTCGCGATTCATTTGCTGCAGAATGGAGCTTAGCTCGGTGATGACGGTGTTCTTGGAGTCCGGTGTGGATGGCGGGCTGCGCAGCTCCGGGGGCTGATCGCCCCACAGCTTGGATGTCCTTTGAGTAGGAGTCCTAGGAGGTTCAGAGGATGAAGGGGGAGGGGGAGGAGCCTGAGGCGGCGTCCCGTAGGACTCAGGAGGCTCCTCTATTAGAGCGTCATGGTAAAGCGATGTTCTGTTAATGACCGACTTTCCCTTGGGTTTGGGTGGCACAGGGGGCCGATCTACCAGGAAGTTGTGCCCGTCTGCGGTGGCATAGAGGCTCTCCAGAGCGCTGTCACAGAAACCTCCCTCTGACGACAGCGTGGAGAGGCTGGAAACAGTGCTGGTGGTCTCCATGTGTTGAGGGTCGCCACTACTGCGGCTGTCGACCTCTTCGATTCCCGAGTCACCCACCCCTGATTCTGCATCGGGTGGTGGAGGAGGGTATGATGGGGGCATGTTGTTTGAAACCCGTTTGTGTTGATCAGTGACGGGTGGGGGGGCATGAGGGTGGTAAGGAGGAAGAGGAGGTCCCCCGTTCCGTCTCTGATGGTGAAGCATCTCTGCAATGGCACTGGCCTGGTCGTCAGGTATGTCAATACTGTTGGCAAACTCCAGCGGAGGCGGAAGGGGCTCTGAGAATTCAAACTCCTCATCAATGTCAACAGAAGCCAGGGGGGGAGGGGGAATTCTGAAGGGCAGCTTCACTGGTTCATCCATTGACTCACCCAAAGGAATGCTCCTCCTCCGCGATGAGGGTGGCTGTGGATTGGAGAGTGTTGCTTTGAGAGGATCTGGTTGGTTGGGGTCCTTCAGCTCAGACGGCCTGTTGCTGTCCTGCCCCTCCACCTCCTGGTTGTTCACCTTGTTATTTGCGTCAGTGTGAACCATCAACAGCCCCGCCGTCTTGGGCTGTGATGTGTCTCCCACATCAGCTGGCGCACTTTTCCTCTCCTCAACCGCCTGATGCTTCCGTTCTTCCCGTGCACCATCTGTTTCATACTTCTGCTCCGTCATCTGTCTCCGCAGGCCCCCTCGGCCGGGTCGGCCCATGGTTGCCGATGAGATTGCAGCAAAACTTGTCTCAATCCCAGAGCGTAGTTTGGTGTCAATGAAGAGCGGTTGGTTGAGGTCTGGTTTGTGACTTGACTGAATGGGGAGGGACTGAGCTTCATGCTTGGGTGTTTGCTGAACCTGAGGAGGATTTTGAGTCTGATTCTGAGGATGATTCTGTTGCTCCTTCATGGCACGGTCACGAGCTGCCAGGGCCAAAGCCAGCGGAGAGTTAGGGTCCAAGGGCTTGCCTGTAACAGGGTGGAGGTAGGTCCCGTTCGCCCTGTAGTGGCTCTTAGGAGGAGTGGATGGGAGACTAACAGGACTGTCCAGGTTTTGACACTGGCCTGTTCTGGTGTTCAGAGGCTCTCGTACCACTGTGGGCTCAGGAGTGTTGAAATCAGTCATGTTTCCACTTCCGCCCCCTACAGGACGTCCTAGCAGTGCAGCAGGAGGGGGAGCCAATATTCTTCGAAGCCGCTCGTCGCTACTGAACATGCCTTCATCGATTGACTTTGACTGCCGAAGGCGAGGGGTGGGTGTGGGACTGCTGAATTCATCGTCCCCTATATCTATAGACTGGAAGGCGATGGAGTGCTTTTTTGCCTCTAGCCTCTTCTCGCGATCCCGGACCGCTCCGGCAATAGCTGCCGCAAATGGATTGTTCAAAGATAAAGGGTCGTCAGGACGCAAACCTCCACCCAGATTAGGTGTGAGAGGTGGGTGTTCAGGGGTAGTGGGCTCGATCTCCATACTGCTACCCTGGCTGCTCTTGCCGCTGCTGCTGGTGGAGGGCTCCTTGACGATGATGGTGGGGATGGGGATGGAGGAGCATGTTCGTTCTACAGGCGTAGTGGGCATGGAAACTGGGCCTGATGGGCTTGCTTGCACGTGTTTCTCAGGACTGTCCTCAACATTGGACTGCTTTACTAACATGCCCTTCCTTCGAGCTGGTTTTGCTGGAATATACAGAGTCTTATTGCCTACCTCGGAGTAAGGGTTCTCAGGAACGGGCGCGCGCCCTCTTATACGAGTACTCTCAAACTGCTCTGAGCTCTGCCGGTAATATCCACGTCTCAACGTACCAACATCCCTGCGAATGGTCGTCACTGCATTGGGGGAGTTCTGGGTAAAGCTCGGTCGTGTTGTGCCGTAGTTCTTTGTTGCAGGGCCGGAGTTGTAGCCGGGTGGTGAAGGGGGTGAAATGGCAGGGGGAGGGGGGATGTCCTCTGAGGTGTCGGGCATAGAGAGGCTGCGGGAGAACTTGAGAAGGGGCGGTGTGAGATATCCCTGTTTGTCATCCTCTGATGAACCTTTGAGAAATGAAGCAAAAAGAAAAATTATGTGAGGACCTCAGGGACACATTCATTTTATTTCCAGCACGCCCTCTTTTGTGCAAAGAAAATGCCTCATTTTTCAAAGAGAGCTCTTTGTTAGCCTTTATTAATCAAACCAGGGGGGGTTCCTGAAATGTTGTGTGATGCCAAATCAATACACTTGCACAGCTACATGATGCTTTTTTAACAGCAGAAAAAAGGGGCATTTCCCAAGGAATTAATTTGGCCTATTAATGAACGTCATCGTTTGAAATATAGAGTGCAGACAGGACAAAAAAAACATTTCTACTAAAGGATAAATGCAGATGATGCAAGATTAAAATTCAGTTCAAAAGAGCTGCTTTCGGTATCAAAAGGAGAGCAGATGGTTATTTAACTCCTAGTTGCCATTTAAGGATTCAGTTTACTCGCTAAAATGTGCAGAAGATGCTTGCTTGGTTAAGATATTTAAATCCTATCGTACACGTCTTTTAAACTGTAAAAGTGTCAGGAGGAAACATCTACTGCTGAGGGGAACATTTAACTCTAAGACCAGAGCAATTTCCATGTGTCACACTACCTACAAACCAGAGCATCCTAAAACTGCTGTTGAAGCAACAAAAGGTATACGTTGTTACTTATAATAATGATGGCATTGCTAATCGAAGGAGCTGCGAGTAACATCTGCCTGCATGACGTCCCTCTAGTTCAGCAGGCATGCAGGGTGAGGTTTCAGCATAATGACCTCCACTATTAGCGCCTGAAAGCACACTTTGCTGACTGGATCCTTCTAATTTATCTATAATTAGCTGTAATACTGCTTCAGCACACACAGCAAGTCCTCAGAGCATTAATAGATTATTACGACAAGCTAAAAGCAAAAGGTGCTGCACACACACACACACACAGACACACACTGATCTTACCTATGGACTTCTGCTTCTTCATCGTACCCTTCTCGGGTATCCCCAGAAAGGCCCCGGGCACGGTGGGTGGCACCACTGCGACTCCCTGGCGGTCGTGATACATGGACTGTAAAGCAGAGTGTTGCTAATGATGCACCCAGGAATAGACACGACTTCATTAGCTCTCTGCTGGCTGTGCAGACCGACACTAACAGTGTTCAGTTTCAGCCTTATATCATTTTAATAAACGATAAAACAAACTGCTGTTAGACCGCTTCTTGCATAAGGGGCTTCATTAGGGGAGCAAGGATACAATCGAGCTAATTCCAACACACATCTAAACACTTTTAAAGGTGCACTATGGAGCTCTGGTAGTGAAATTTAAAAGTTGGAGTGAAACAATTCTATGCTATATTTTCTGAACTGAATACACAAACTTTATTCAAAGGACAAAATGGGTCCCTGGAAAACTGTTTTCCATTTGAGTAATGGTTTCACTGTGGCGGGCCCCCCACCATAACTTCTCGCGTAGCATTTTATCTTCAAACAGCGTTCCAGGGACCAAACATTCCTCTGAGGACAGTTTGTGTATAAAGTTATGAACATACCACAGAATCTGACAATTTCTCCAACTTTCACATTTCTCTACCAAAACTCCACAGTGCACCTTTAAATGAAAATATAACACACTTCAAAACAAGACCACAACAAAAAGCTACAGTGTAACATATCTATGTTCCCTCAGCCCTGTGTCTCCTCTACCCTATGTTCCCTCAATCCTGTGTCTCCTTTATCCTATGTTCCCTCAGCCCTGTGTCTCCTTTATCCTATGTTCCCTCAGCCCTGTGTCTCCTCTACCCTATGTTCCCTCAGCCCTGTGTCTCCTCTACCCTATGTTCCCTCAACCCTGTGTCTCCTTTATCCTATGTTCCCTCAGCCCTGTGTCCCCTCAGCCCTATGTTCCCTCAAACTATGTTCCCTCAGCCCTGTGTCTCCTCTACCCTATGTTCCCTCAGCCCTGTGTCTCCTCTACCCTATGTTCCCTCAGTCCTATGTCCCCTCAAACCTATGTTCCCTCAGCCCTATGGTCCCTCAACCCTATGTTCCCTCAGCCCTATGGTCCCTCAACCCTATGTTTCCTCAGCCCTGTGTTCCCTCAACCCTATGTTTCCTCAGCCATATGTTCCCTCAGCCCTATGTTCCCTCAGCCCTATGGTCCCTCAACCCTATGTTCCCTCAGCCCTGTGTTCCCTCAACCCTATGTTTCCTCAGCCCTGTGTTCCCTCAACCCTGTTCCCTCAGCCATATGTTCCCTCAACCCTGTTCCCTCAGCCCTATGTTCCCTCAATCCTGTTCCCTCAGCTCTATGGTCCCTCAACCCTATGTTTCCTCAGCCATATGTTCCCTCAACCCTGTTACCTCAGCCCTATGTTCCCTCAATCCTGTTCCCTCAGCCCTATGTTCCCTCAGCCCCATGTTTCCTCAACTCTGTTCCCTCAGCCGTATGTTCCCTCAACCCTGTTCCCTCAGCCCTATGTTCCCTCAAACCTATGTTCCCTCAGCCCTATGTCCCCTCAAACTTATGTTCCCTCAGCCCTATGGTCCCTCAGCCCTATGTTCCCTCAGCCCTATGTTCCCTCAGCCCTATGGTCCCTCAACCCTATGTTTCCTCAGCCATATGTTCCCTCAACCCTGTTCCCTCAGCCCTGTGTTTCCTCAACCCTATGCTCCCTCAACCATATGTTCCCTCAATCCTGTTCCCTCAGCCCTATGTTCCCTCAACTCTGTTCCCTCAGCCGTATGTTTCCTCAGCCATATGTTCCCTCAACCCTGTGTTTCCTCAACCCTATGTTCCCTCAGCCCTATGTTCCCTCAATCCTGTTCCCTCAGCCATATGTTTCCTCAACTCTGTTCCCTCAGCCATATGTTCCCTCAACCCTATGTTTCCTCAGCCGTATGTTCCCTCAACCCTGTTCCCTCAGCCCTGTGTTTCCTCAACCCTATGCTCCCTCAACCATATGTTCCCTCAACCCTGTTCCCTCAGCCCTATGTTCCCTCAGCCCTATGTTCCCTCAGCCCTGTGTTCCCTCAACCCTATGTTTCCTCAGCCATATGTTCCCTCAACCCTGTTCCCTCAGCCCTATGTTCCCTCAAACCTATGTTCCCTCAGTCCTATGTCCCCTCAAACCTATGTTCCCTCAGTCCTATGTCCCCTCAAACCTATGTTCCCTCAGCCCTATGTTCCCTCAGCCCTATGGTCCCTCAACCCTATGTTTCCTCAGCCGTATGTTCCCTCAACCCTGTTCCCTCAGCCCTATGTTCCCTCAGCCCTATGTTCCCTCAACCTTACATTAACAAGTAACCTGCCAAACTCGACATATTTCACCTTCATGTTTTTTTATTTTGTTGACCACTTACATTCATATCCGTTGGCGTCACCAAACAGCGACTGGACGGGCGTGGTTTGATTGTGGCGATCTTCATATCAACAGGCGAGGCCTTCTGGGCGTGCGTCATCTCTTCAACTTTATCTGCAAGACAAAGCGAGCCGTAATCCATCAGCCAGGAACTCGACGAGCGCAGGCAGGACTTAACTTACAAAGCCTTAGTAAGGTTCTCATCGGCCAAACGCAAGCTAATCATTCACAGTGACGCTCCCTGTGTTTCCACACTGAGCTGCAGATGAAACTAAAACAGAAAAAAAAAACATTTAAATCATTCTTTGTTTTTTTTTGGGGGGGGGGGGGATACAGGACTCTGATGAAATGCGTTGGGTGTTTCCAGCCTTGAAAGCCGTGCAAGCTCTTTTCCAAACAGCCGACTCAGCAGCATCATCAACTCTCAGGGTCGTCCCTTCGGTTAAATGTGAGATGAGCAATGAATGTGAAGTCTGTCAAGTTTGCCGTTAGCTTCCTCAGTCTTACTTTTTGAACCTGCACACTAGGAAGGGTGTAAACGGCAAATTTGTCAGAACTGAAACGTCCCTCTGGTGTGAGATGATGCCGTCAGGTCAGATAGACGCCTCCTAAAGAGTTCCGCTCAGAGAAGCTACATGCTAGCCCTGATCGAGCCTCTTGCTGCACCACCTGTCTGACTCGCGCTGTCTTTGGTGTAAAAAGCTTCCATGCATTTGGGGGAGTGATTACTTAGAGTGACTTGGAAAACAATCCTCTTCTTCTGCGCATCTACACACAGAGGAGAGGAGTGGGGAGGAGGAGAGGGGAGGAAAGGAAAGGGGGGAGGAAAGGAGCGTCAATGACCTCAAAAGCTAAAACACAAACACACAGAACAAAACAGAAGAAAATGCATATTTTCTCTCTCTCTCTCTCTCCGAGCCGCCTCCCTGTCGGTTTGCAGCAACAACACATCAGACAACGTGCAATACAGTTGCCCTGGAAACCTATCTGTGAGTGAAACATTTCCTGGAATAAACCTCCCCCTCCTCTCTCACACACACACACACACACACACACGTACAGTGACACACTCACAGGAGGAGGAAAAAAGAAGGCACACATGAAAACAGAAATACGACAGCAAAGCTTTTTAGGTCAGGTAGAAAGAACAAACATTGACTTACAGCAACAGTGTTTAGTTTGTTTGAGGGCATTTTTCTCTCACAAACACATAAACACAAAATGATCTGTGGTTTCTCATTAAGCGTCTGTTTCTACACGTTTAGCATTTGAAGTCTGAAACTCCTCCAGAAAGTAAATCCTGTTTTCTCGCCGCATGTTCGTGCTGCAAATGAAGATTCTGGTTGGAGTTAGGAAGCACCCTGAGGTGAAGAGCTACCTGTTGCTACTGTTTCCTCTTTCCACTGCTCACATGACTTTATCAAAACTGAAGTCACATTGTCAAAACTCTTCACACAGTCAGCGAAACAGACGTCCATGTGGACCAAACTGTGAATCATTATTCATTACTTTCACACAAAAAACTTGAAATTGAAAAAATAATTTCCCAATTTCCCTTTTCCTGTTTGTTATTCATTCTCCACCTCACACTGTTGTCAATACTTTCAAACAACAATGAAGTCCTACAGTTTGACTATAACTGTTCTCCAAAAATGAGTTTCATTTTGAGTGTGTGCAAAGGGCAGCAGGGCAGCAGGCAGCGGCGTTCCTAGACTTTTTTTTGGCTGGGGGGGGCAACTGGGTCTCCTGAATTGTGATGTGCGGCACAAACACATACAATTAAATATTAATCATTTACCCTTTCTTTTTTTGGGGGCTTTTTGTACCTTTAATGGAGTGATAGGACAGTGGATAGAGTCGGAAACCAGGGAGAGAGAGCGGGGAATGACATGCGGGAAGGAGGCCACAGGTGGGATGTGAACCTGGGCTGCCTGCTTGAGACGACAGCCTCAATACATGGGACGTGCGCCCTAACCATTGCGCTACCAGCGTGCCCCCATTTACCCTTTCTAACCTCACAAATCAAATCTACTTTATAACTCAAGATAATGGCAACATTAGCTTCATGTTTTAATGACACAAAACGAAGATTTATGTGTCACAATTACTTAAAAATGTGTATGCAAACTCCTGCACAGGCACCCGACACATTGTCAGTATGAAAACTACTAGCAGCCTTCTGCAAAAGAGTCTAACAGGGCAAACATTGCAAACAGCCAATCACAATTTGGGATTCTCAGGGTGGCCAATCTGATTTCTTGGGCCCATTCCACCCCTGGCCGCCCCTCTGGACACACCCCTGCAGACTGTACAGAAAATGTTCTCAGTTCAATTCTTCCCTCTGTTCTCCCGTGATCTTGTGAACCCGAGTGTACAGCTACTGGTGCATGTGCGCCCGCTCCAGGAACGGACCCAGTGGATTTTTACAATCTGCCGCAGTTTGTAATAAATTAAAAACGTTTCTGTGAATCTCTGATGAAGCTCAGATTTATGTGACAAAGCTTTCTAACTAGAAAGATTAAAGTTCATCATTAATGCGCTGCTCCTTGGTGCTGGTGTTTTTAGGTCAGTGTGTGATGCGTTTCGCTCCGATGAGCTCGTGCTGAGACGTGTGTGAAGTGTTCGGATGCCTCGAAGGCGCAGAGATTACGGTTTATGTTTGTTCAGGCTGCAGATCGTTAAGGAAAAACAGTACAGCTGTTTTCAAATCTGCACTGCTGAAAATATCTAGAACATTTCAGGAGGACTGCTCCTGAAATCCTCCAGGAGGGGGGGGGGGGGGATTCTCCTGATTATATCCTGCTGCGTTCTCACATCAGCTCACTCTGACTTTCTGCAGAATAAATACGAGGAGGCTGGAGGAGAAACTCCGGGTGAAGAGAGAAACATTCAGCTGTTTGTGTTCACACATGCAGCTCCTCCTGGAAATATCAGAAGTTTTTCAGGAGTTTTCTGCGAGAGTGAAAGCTCTATATGAAGAGTTTTTATAAAAGTGTCTTCAGTTCTGATGGTCTTGTTCTTGCTCTGTAATCAGAGCAAAATATAAACCAAGAAGAAGGAGTAATCTGTGACTGTGAAGAGGAACTTACAGCTTTACAACATGAAATCATGCAACAACAACAACAACAACAACATTAAGAAGAGGATGAAAGATCAGCAGTCAGAACACATCGTGTAAATCATGCACACGCGTCACAGTGTTTGGTTTCACAGAAAGTCAAAAGAACTAATCAGAGCAAATCAAAGGTCTACATATTCAGAGGTGTGCGTCGATCACAGTGAGGTGCAGGTCGGGGAGTCTGAAACATGCCTGCAGAAACTTACCACCTTTCTTTTTCCTTAGAGTGGCTTTGAGGATGACAGAAAAACATTTCTAAGACTTTAAATCATTAAACCAGACCTCAGCGCTTCTCCAAAGACCAACACAAACTTTGTTGAAAAAGTATTCAGTCAGTGTATTTAAATGTATCCTACGGCCTGTACGCTGTGTGCATCCCATCATTTACATTTAGATATTAAAACCTTGATGCACTTGAGGCCTCACAGACTACACCGTTCTGTTACTGCTGTGAATGTGTAAAATAAAGAACGAAATGCAAACGTGTCAAATAAGAAGCTAAGGAGGAAACATGCTGACCGGAGGTGATTTTTCTGTCAGCAGTTTGTGCAGAATTAGTTCTCTCTCTCTTTCTCTCTCTCACTCTCCTGTCATTTATTTATTCGTTCACCTCTCGGCTCTCGGGCTTTTTGCTCTTTGCGCACCTTTGACACACAGCACGAAGCTGCAATTACCACGGATCGATCCTCGAGTTTGTACAGTCAATCACAAGCAGCTGCTCAGAACGATTCAGCCATGCAGCTTATGATGTTTCTATGACTGATGAATCATTCCCCCTAACCCTGCAGGTCAAGAACACTGATTTATAAAAATATCATGAGATAAACACACAGTATTATTATTGATAAATTCTTGACATTGATAAATGTGCTAAGTTGAAACTGGTGAGTCTTTGCTGAATAGTTCATTTAAAGGTCCAGTAGTGAGTGAGATGATAAAGTGAGCTTACTCTATGATCAGACATTATGGAAACATGATGTGTTGAAGTGCTGGCTTCTCTGACAACAATGCAGCAGCCAGTATGTCCTCCTCCTAACTTTAGATTCTGCTCCTGAATGCTCTGGATTTGTTTGGACCAGAGAAA